TATTTATGCCTGTTAAATGCTGCAATCTACGTAACTCAATAGAGGTTTTACTAAAAAGTTGGAAAGCATTGCTACATTCACATTGATTCCTGCCCCCATCTTGTCAGAGAATTTACTCCATCAGTCTGGAGATAGAATAACTTAATATTTTCTTTATGGATACATGATTTTGCTATACTGAAAAGTTTCCCACCATATCAGTATGCCAAATAAAGCACTCCCTCCATCCACTATCATGCCCCTAGACTTATGATGGGAAGATTCACTATCACAATTCAATTGCTGGGTCTCCAAGCAAAATTTTAGGAATGACCACTTTATTTTTGTTTACTGCAAAATACATCCTTCTCTGCTGGCAAGATGGGCCTCCCTTTAATGCAGGGTTGACTAAGCAGTATAAACATCTATTCATATTGGAGAAACTTCATAAACCCATTGCTATATACTTCTGTACTCTCATTTGTATGGACAGGAAATCAGTATAAAGAGGCAGTTCTGGATTGAGCAAATGACTGGTCCACAGATTATCAAAACAACAAAGGATCTAGATTCCAATCATTTGAATCTCTCTGGGTCTTAACTTTCCTCATCTGTAAAATGAGGGAGTGGTACTAGGTGGTCTCTAAATCCTATGACCTCATAATTTGGTGAATAAAGAAACGACTTGTCTCAGATTTGGTTCGTAGTACTATTTTTACTCCTTGAAAACCTGTGTGATGTTAGGCAAGTCACTTAAGTACTCTGTGCCTCAGTACCTATAGCTGTAAAATGGGGATAAGCATACCTGCTTCTTTCAATATTTCTGGTAATAGTATTCAACTGGAGTGGAAACACATGCCTTTTGGAAGAATCGGATTTATCAAAACATAATGTGGTACTATTTATACTAGAGTATCGAGGAGTACAGAGGTCACAACAAAAGATTTCCTTTGAGGATATCACACCCTATTTATGCAATACTAGGTTCATCATGATCAAAGAATGTTAGGGCTAAGAACAAGCCTTAGAGCTTATCTCATTTTACAGATGAGGAAACTGAAGCAGAGAAAAGTGAAAGAGATGGCCAAGGTGACCCAGATGATCAGCAGAGGATACAAACTCTGTGGCTCAGAGGACAAACCCAGTGGTCTTTCCTTTTTACCATGCAAAACTTTATGTTAGTTTTCTATGCAAAACTTTATGATCATTTGTCCAAATTATGGTATTTAAAGTGGTAAGGACAAATTCAATTTACTACAAAAATAAAATTCAAGGTAAGACCTACAGGACAGCTACGTATTTCTTTCTTTCAGAATTCTGCTTAGGTCATACAGATGCCCTGTTGGGTAATCCTACCCATTCTGTCTCTATCGCCATCTGCATACCCAACTGAAAAGCTTAGCTGTGCTAGCTGGAGGGTAGGAAGGGAGGGGAGAGGAGAATCGGGAAGACACCCTATTTCAACTTCGAAATCACCCACAGAGCAACATTTCTTCAGCTCAGTAAAACGTCTGATCTCTCAAAGTCAGCAGTCAGGGAAGGCGGAGGCGAAGGGGAAAAGGCTGCCAGGAAAGTGACTCTGTAATTTAGAGATGCCAGAGCAGGGAGAGGGAGCAGTCCCCAAGCAGTACTCACTTTATAGCAAGAAGCCTGAGCCACTCTGAATTTCAGCTTCCTGTACTTCTGAGACCTTTATTTTCCGAACGTTTTCATTTTTTGCTTTCAGAGGAGCCTAGTCGTGGTTTCCGTTTTGACAGTCACTGCCCAGTCCTTCTCCCTTTGATAGGGCACCGCTGATCCCGAGGGTACCTTACGTGTGTGGGTTCCGCCCTCCTGCCTAAGTGGCCCCACCTCCTCTTACCACGGAGTCCCAGACACCAGTTTCTTTCTGGGAAGAGGAGTGCATGGATAGGTTTGACTGATTTGTCAAAAGAGTTGCTATAAATAACTCAATTACAAATTTTTATACTGCCATGCCTGTGGAAACATAACACATAATGCACACAATCCGGCTGCTTGGATCAAAATTAGGACACTCAGAGGTGCCCTGGGGGGTTGGGAGTGGGCAGTAAGTGACCCAAAGCAGCTCAGATTATATAAAATAAACCACAAGTGAACCCACAAGGTACAGAGTGGGATACAAATCTCACTGGCTGCAGGCTGCCCTTTTGCTACATCTCCTTGGGGGAGATGGGGGTAAAGGTTGGGGGCGGGGAGAGTGGGCAGAGAAGCCATATTGTCAAATCTCCCCAAGCCCTGTAAGGATTACTCTGCCTTTACCCCCATACTCCCCCCATCCCCTTCCTCCATGACCTTGTACCCACCTATGGTGGGGACAGGTTTTACAAACTCATTCATAAATAATGATAAACAAATAATCATCTGGGAATTTTTTTTCTTCAAAAGGTAGTCTGACTCTTCAATTCAATATGGAACAAATTTTATGCTGAAGGAAAAGGGAGGGAGGGAACAGTAGAGTGAAGGATAATCTCTGTAGTCATACATTGCAGCTCTTCAGCATTGTAGGACTATGGATGTAGAAGGATCTTAGAGGCTGTCCATTTCAACCCCCTTATTTGACAGACAAAGAGACTGAGGGTCAGAGAGATTAAAATCACACAGGCAGAGCTGAATGGGCAGAGCTAGAATTTGAACCCAGGTTCTGTAACTCATTTTTTTCATCTGTAAAATGGAGATAATAGCACCTACCTTCTATGGTTCTTGTGATGATCAATTGAGATAATACATGTAAAACACTCTATAAATCTTAAAATGCTACATAAATGCTATTATTATTATTATTATCATTATGATGAGAGCAGGTTATAGTAAAACTATCATTTCCTGAACCTGGGTTCAAATCCTGGATCTTCTACTTACTATTTTGACATTAGTGAACTAATTTACCTTCTAGACTTCATCCTCCTTCTTTATAAAACAAACAACTGAGAGTCAATGTAGTAATTAAATCTGTTCTTTTTTTAAAGTGATGAACATGAAAAGATCATTAGAGCATAGGGGACTCATTTTAAAATATATTTTTTTTCTACTGGAAGATTGTATAAGAGCTTTCCCAAAGTAGGATTAACATTCAGATGGATATGCTGGGAAATCTTAAGGCTATAAGAGAGATGTTCTTTTTTTTTTTTTTAATAAATTTTTGGACCTGACCTCTGATTTTACTAGTATAAAGAAGTTCCAGTGAGTAACCTCTTTCTATCAATTCAGACAGGCCCCCGTGCTGAAATGTATAGTTCTGGAGAGTTGGCTAGAGTACTGAGAGTTTAAATGACTTATCCAGGGTCACACAGTCTACATATGTCAGAGGCATGATTTGAACCTAGATCTCTTTGACTCCAAAGCCTTCTCTGGGTTCCTTATGCATGATACTCTATCTCCCAGCTCCATGCCTTTGCACTGCTCCCCCCCCCCACATACCTGGAACATGCTCCCTTCTTACTTCTGTCTCACAAAACCCATCTCTTCTTTTAACACGTAGCTCAGGCAGCAGCTTCTGCATGAAGCCTTTCCAAATCCCCCAACTGTCAGTGCCTTATCTGCCAAACTATCTTGTATTTAACTATTTTCTATTTACTCACTTTATATTTAAACTACATCTCATGTATCTACTTGTCACCATTGGTATATAAATTTCTTAGAAGCACAGCTTGTTTCATTCATCGTACTAGTTTCCCCAGTGCCCAGCACAATGTGGTCTGGCGTTTGTGCTTAAAAGTTGTATGGGGAAAGGCAGCTAGGTGGCACGGTGGATGGAGCTCCAGCCTCCGTCTTACTCAAGTCAGGAGGACTTGAGTTCAAATCTGACCTCAGACACTTGACACTTACTAGCTGTGTGACCCTAGGTAAGTCACTTAACCCTGATTGCCTAATCAAAAACAAAACAAAAAAATTGTCTAGGGATTGATCACCTCTTGCATCTTAAGCTTATACAATTAGTTTCCTGGTTTGATAATTAATATTTTAATGAAAACCAAACTGTGTTTCAAAAGTTTTCTTATTTTAAGGATCTTCACCTGGTGCACGGGAAATTTTTACATATTAGATTCCAAATGACATTGTGTCCTATAGTATTCCTGTAGCATTTGGTCAGCTTAAATCTTATATTTTGTTTCATAATGTCCTAAAGCAAAAGGCAAGCATCTTATATCCTCCCTTACTACAAGAGAGTTTCAGGCGAAATATTCCTTTAATTTTTCTTACCCTTATGTTATGCCAAAAGGGAAAAAAAGGTAAAGCTCCCAATTCAAGCCTTTACCTGGGAATGAAACCATTCCACTCAGCTAAAAAGGTGCAAGGCAAGACCAGTTTATTTCTAGAAAGAGTAATTCATAATTTTTATTGGGGCTGGAGAGAAAGGAACAAACATTTATTAAGTGCCTACCGTGTGGCAAGTATTATCTCATTTGATCCTCACAAAAACCCTGGGAGATGAATGCTTCCAGTATCCCCATTATACAAAGGAAGAAAATGAGTCAAACATAGGTTAAGTGACTTGCCCAGGATCACAGAGCTAGTAAGTGTCTGAAATTAGACTTGAACTCATGCCTTCCTGACTTGTGTCTTAATTCTAACCCCAAGGTCTGATGCTCTGTCTATTCTGTCATCAAGCTCTCTCTGCTGAGAAGCAGCGTGATGCAGTAGAAAGAGCCCTCAATGGGAACCTTACTCCAAGCTCAGCACTCTCTCCACTGTACCACCTAGTTAACTATTTGAAGTTACCTATTGGCCTCAAAGCTGAAAAGCATTAATAAGCTAGTCATATCCTAAGATCTAAGCACTTTATGAAAAAAAGAGCTAACTAGATTTCTGCTCTGCTTGCATGTGCAATGACCCAATGCTAACACCAGCATATGAGAACAGACATTGCATAATAGATTAAATCAACAACAAGAGTCTTTTTTTTTCTTATTTTCTCCCCCTTCCCCTATGACAGACATACCATTTCATATTTAGGATTCACCATGCCACAATGCCACATACCATAAAGAGATGGTGCTCACCTTACTAGAGGCTGTTCTACTTGCAGAGATCCTGGAGGGGCGACTGCTACTGTGACTTGCTGTTTTTTCCTTGAAACACACATAAAATTGCAACATTAGTGTGTGAAAATATAGCAACAAGGAAGTCAAGACAAATTTTTCATTTCAATGCAAACTTATTCTCAAGGGAAAAAAAAGATTTTTGTTTGTAACTAGCATACCAGATTGACAAATATCATACTTTGCCTGAAAACCAAAGTTTTCATGCTTTGCCTGAAGGCTATCTCAATATTAAAACAGGGATAAGAATAGGAGCTAACGTACTAAATTTGTAAACATCAAACTTTTCATTTCTTCTTCATCTAAATGTTAGAAAACATACAAAATGAGTTTAAATCCTGCTCTTGCATTCGTCAATGATCTTTTAGAATTGTGAAAAAGTACCTTAAGGCCATCTCCACTTTTGGCCCCATTATGGAAACCACATCCTAAAAGGAAAGCGTATTTTCTCTTAGGAAGAAAGCTATGATTTGGGGTTGTATTCCTGACTAAGCACTTTGTCTTCAAATAGACCACAGATATGACCAACAATGGACAAAGCAATGAGGTGATGGTGATACTTCTATAATAACACAAAATAATAAAATTGTACTCTAATACCTACCTATAAATAATCATCAATGTACGCTACACACTATCACACTCTTCAGTGTACACATGACTCATAAAAATATGGCTCGAGTGTATCACAGATATGATTTAATCTAATGTGGTTGATATAATAAATATTAATTAAATATTTAACTAATACTGATTTTGTTTGCCTTCTAGAATTTAGAAGGGTTTTTTTTTGGAAGAGGAATTCTCTGAAAAAAAATTGAGCTGATGTTTTCTTTTTCAAAGAATCATAGGGGTCCTCTAGCTCAACTTCTGTTTGATTCAAGAATGCTCTCTATAACACCCCTGACAAGCAGTCATGGTCAACTAGCTCATGCTAGATATAAGGGCACCTAGGAGGCACAGTAGATAAAGAGTCAGGCCTGTCATCAGGAAGACTCCTCTTCCTGAGTTCAAATCTGGACACAGAGATCTACTAGCTTTGTGACCCTGGCCAAGTCACTTTCCCCTGTTTGCCTCGGTTTCCTCATCTGTAAAATGAGCTAGAGAAAGAAATGGCAAATCACTCCAGTATCTTTGCTAAGAAAAACCCAAAATGGGGTCACAAAGAGTGAGACATAATTGAAAAATGACTCAACAAGAGATACAAGATAAGACCATAGATTTAGCTCTGTAAAGGACCTTAAAGATCATTCTAGTCCAACCCTTCATTTTACATTGGAAGAAACTGAGGCCCAGGGAAGTAAAGGTGACTTGCCCAAGGTAGCAAAATTACTAAGTAGCAAAGTCAGGGCTTCAATCCAGGCCCTCTGATTCTAAATCCAGCATTTCTCTCACTATGCCATACCACCTGCAGCCAGTTGTGATCAAAACTCTTCCTAGAAATTTCACATTAAAGAACAAAGTCGAAACCAATCATCCTACTGATATTAGAATTATCTTTAAATATTTCAGGCACTCTTCCTAGCAGTGTGCTGAAAACTCTCAGTCTTCACTGGAAAGTCATACACACAATGACCAGAGCCTTAAACTTTCAGAGAGGGATTTCAGATAATTTCTAATTGCTAAGCTCAAACTCACTTCTCTTCCTGATTTCTCTGTTTCCGTTGAGGACACCCATAGCCTTCTGAGCTACTCAGGTTCAAAAGTTTAGTCATTCTTGACTCTTTACTCTTCCTCACCCCGTGTATTTGTGGAGTTGCCAAGAAGACATGTTGATTCTTCCTGTACAATATTTCTATGCATTCATTCCCTTCTCTCCATTCCAAGGATAGTCAGAATACCTTGCTTCAAAACCTGACCCTGATGCTTACTACTTATATGACCTATGTGACCGTCTCACCTCTAGGGGCCTCAGTTTCCTCATTTGTAAAATGGAGGGGGTATGTGTGAGCATGATGATTTCTAAGGTTTCTCCTAATTCTGAATCTTTGATCCTATGATCCTGTTCCTTAAGTTTGAATGCTGGCAGACCAATAATTTAAATCCTAATAAAAAAATAACACTCTTCCTCCTCCTCATCCTCCTCCTCCAACCACTACTACTACTCTTACTCCTCCTACTACTACTACCACCACCACCACCGCCACCACCGCTACTACTACTACTACTAACTGGCACTTATATAGTGCTTTAAGATTTGCAAAGCACTTTACATATGGTAACTTGTTTGATCCTTACAACATCCCTATGAGGTAGATGCTATTATTATCTCCACTTAAAGATGAGGAAACTGAGTCTGAGAGGAGATAAGTGTCTTGTCCTGGGTCACATGGCTAGTAGGGAATCTGAGGCAGGATTTGAGCTCAGATCTTCCTGACTCTAAGTCCTATTCTCTACTTAGCTGATATAGAGTAGGACTGTGACTTAGAAGAGTCTGGAAGACCTTGGTTCAAATCCTACCTCTGATGAATATTGGCTGTGTGATACTGGGTAAATCAATTCTCAGTGCCCCCAAATCACTTTATAAGACCATACATTAGAAAGCAATTGTTGATTTGCACTGGTAAAAGTAATTTTCTCAGTGAAATCACTGGTTTGACAACAACTGATGTTAAGTAGGCAACTCTGAAAGATTCACATGGCACTGTCATTCATTTATTCAAGTAGTCAGCAAACATTTAAGACTACTTTATGCAAGTCACCATGGAAGTTTAGGGGAACTACACAAACCACTGCAATACTCAGATGCCTCTATGATCTCAGAGACTATGCGGACTATGTCTTATCTAACTTTATCTCCTCTAATGCCTAAAGTAGTATTCTGTACATTGCAGGCACTTAATAAATATTTATTGAATTAATGTGCAGGTTGTATTTAGTTCAAATATGAGAAATCAGACCCTATGATGATTGGTGAAAAGAGATTAAATTGCAATGTTTGAGTTTATGATCTATTCATTTTGAAAAATATTGTCATATTTGACACAGTATTTGACATATTGATACAGAGATGGGGGGACCCTTTCCAATGATGCGGACTGAAAGCCATCTGGAACATTCTGTTGGGCTCTTGTCCATGTCCTCCCATAAGTTAGCCATAGGGAGTCTACCCCAATGCACTCGAGGCCTTCCCTTAATTCTCTTGACATAACAATACCTATGCTATCAAGGAGTTATCCTTTTGATCTCTCCAGGTGACCAGCTATCTTTCTGAATCATATAGATTTATGAGGACATCCTTTGCCCAGATCACTTATGCCCAACATGGCCTCTACAATTCCTAACTTTGGTGGCTGGGAATTGTAGATGGTAGTTCTCAATTTTGATCCTTTACTGATTGTGAAAAAATTGGCCTTTTGATTCATATACATGCTTGGGCCCTTAAAGTAACTTCATGATTTCCCATAAGCAATCTAGCTCCCCTCCTCATATTACTCAATTCTGGATCCAGTTCTTTGGGGAAATTGGAGAACTCTTTGATTTACTGCACTGAGGAACCTCCTGTGGAATTGGATATGCATTCTGGTTCCTTTTAATGGGATATGTGCCCTTACCGAAGGGCACATGCCCTGGAAAGATGGCACAGCAACTTCTTACTGGTCCCTATGAATGATGGGCTGCAGCAAAGATAATTGGCAACCGAGTCAGAAAGAGCTGTCCACTCTGTGTGTTTTAAGAAGAACTTAGGAGAAGCTCTTTGAACCTTTCTTTGGGGATACATGAAATACTTTCTCTCTCTTGGACTTCCAGTAGGAGATGGGTAAGGATTCTTTCCCTCTCTACGTTATGACAGCAAAAAGTTCATGGAAGTGAGAATATATACTTATTCTACTTCCTGTTTTCTTCCCTGAGTCAGGCCAGTGACCAGCAATCCTGATAAATGGACATTTCTAACCATGGCGTTAACCTCGTGAGTTTGAGAATTGTAAGATACCAAAGTTGGATGCCAGCTGATAAGCAGGTAGTGGTTTCTGAAACAGCTTACTTCTCAGAGGAGAAGACCACTGGCAGGGTCATTTTGAAACTGGGAGGACCAGTGAGAGCCAGCTAGGAGATTTGGAGCTTGTGAGTTGGCTGGACAGTACAGGCCCAAGGTGAATGTGAAAGTGAAATATCTGTTCTACAGTTTCACTAAGTGCCTTTACCTTTCAGGGAGAAAACTATGGTATGCTACGTTTTCTCTGTGTTAACATGCATCTGCTGTGAGTCTTTTGAATTTGATATAATTTTGGTTGAATAGGAAATACAAATCTGTGCTTTGCCTAATATGGCTGACTGCAAGATAGAAAAAAACATAAGTTGTGCTTTGGCTTTTGTTTTCACCCTCCATTGGCATGGAAGCAACATTTATTACATCACTAACAATTTGGAGAACTCTTCCGCTAAAACCTGGAGAAAGGGTAGAAATGCCTAATTGTCTCTCCAACCTTGGAATTTGCTCCTTAAAATAAGGACACCTATTTTTGAAACCTGTTGTTATCTTAGTCTCTTGCTTATCCCTCTTTTCTCATATCTAGCACTTGCTAAGTCCTGATAATTCCAATTCCAGTATCTCTCTTATGTCTGCCTTCTCTTATTTATTTCTGCAGTAATTATCATAGTGTATAGGCCCATCTTACTATTTTCCTAGAATATTGTAGTGGAATCCGAATAGGTCTTCTCACTTTTACTGTCTCCTCTCTCCAATCTATCCTTCACATGGATGCCAAACCAATCTTCCTTGGGCTTAGATCAGGTCACATCATTCCTGCACTCAAAAATATTCAGTTGTTCCCTATTGCCTACCAAGTAAAATTCTAACTCCTCGACTTTTGTCATTCAAAATCTTTCACAACTTCTCTCCCGCCCTCCCCTTATCCCCCTTTCCAGCCCTATCTCATATGTACCGGGTACTCTATGCTCCCATCAAATCGATCTTCTTCCTGTCTCTGGAACATACCCATTTCAATGCCTTCTCCCATGTTGTAATTCTTATACCGAGAATGTCCCCTCTCATTCCTACCTCCTGTTCAAATCTTATCCACCCTTCA